TATCTATCTATCTATCTATCTATCTATCTATCTATCTATCTATCTATTTACTCACTGCCCACTACCCACCATTAATGTTTACTTCAGCTTTACCCTACTTAGGCGTATAAAGTAACTGCACTGCTGTAGTTGTTGGTAATAGTCTGTGATTTTTAAAGCAAATTTCTTGTAAAGAACACATTAAACCCCCTGACAGCTCACACTAGCACACACAGCAAAACAAGGTCAGACTACTACAAACTAATCTGATGGCGAAAACAACCCTATAGCAATTTTGTTTTCAAATACTATATTTCTGGAGTGCTGCTGTCCAGTTTTGTTACAGAGACTCATGCCAAACTAGCGCAGGTTTTTAAAACACTGCAGGACTGCACTAGGCAGATTATTATGTTATTACCTAAGTGGAATAATAAAGTAACTTATAGGAATTTTGCATTTAAAAGCAAAGTAAAAAAAAACACCAATAAGTTTTTGACTTTCCACTTTCAACTTGCCAAGAATGCAGCATGATTTGAGTTTCACTTTGGTTAGAGATTATGTACCCTTAAATTGTTAAGACAGTGGATGGTTTTTAAAGTGTTGGAAAAGGATGATTCTCTTCCCTTTTTAATGTTTCATAGTTGAAAAGCAGCAATAATAAGATCCTGGAAATGTTCTGATAGCTGTATTATCATCAGTGACAAGTGAATAAATGCATAATCACAGTGAACTGAAGACTTATTTACTAAAAAAGTGGATGCAACAAAACACCGATGTCTCAAATGTTAGTGCTGGTCTGCGTGTGCTGACCTGTGCTGATCTGGTTGTGTTGCAGTGTGATTACTTAGAAGTCAGCCCAGCTTGAAAGCCAAACTCCAACAGGCAAAAATAGGTCAGATTTGAGCCTGTAACAGGTTGTTGAGTTCAGGATACATGGCATAGCTGACACATGGAGGAATTGACCGGTGTTCCGTCTGCTAACAAGAAGCGGTTCTAATTAGTTGTGGGTAGCTCGGGAAAGCAAGGCCAGCAGACCAGTGAAATCAATAACCAAGAGGCTGCTAGCTGAGCATCCATCCTGTGGCTGCCGTCCAACTAGACACTCAGTTCTCAGATAAAGATGAGAGATAGCCGTACATCATTCCACCAGCTTCAGCGAGAAGGAGGGAACTGATCATATTTTTCCTCACACATACACACACAGACACACACACACACACACACACTGAAAGGAAAACACAGCTGAAATGCACCCAACCGCGAGAAGCCCTATACACAGGGTCATATTTTGTAGCTGATGGATAGACATACCTGCCACATCGGATATGTAATTACTCAGATTTATATGCACCATATTTAACAGACAGGTCCTAATTCTTTTTTATTTTTTTTATTTAACACATACATCAACAAGCTTTTTCCTTTTTCCCAACATCATTATGATAGACTAAAACCCAAAGGTGGAAACGTCTGGAAAGTATATATTTGCAGTAGTTGTATGTCCATTTATATGGTTTTTGAGCATTTTTTTTATTTTACGTAAAATATTCCTTGGAAGCTCCTCTCATTCATTAACAGTTGCATTTGATTCAGTTTGCCTCGTAGAAGCAAATCAATTATAGACTTTATGGTGATTTTCAAGTAGGACAATCACTCAGCTAGCCTGATGTGTTGGGTAGCATGAATCAAATGCACTCATATACAGTGAAAGTTTGAGAATGCCCCTTTTGACCACAGTGCTCTGACTAAACCCTGCCTTGACCCTCCTATGTTGTGTTTGTCTCAGATTGGTTCAAACAATCTTAGATTTTATATTTTCTTTTCAGCTCTACTTTAGGAGCACTTGATTGCATGTTTGCCCAGAGAGGTTGTTGAATGGCTTTCTCTGCACCACTTCTTCCTGAGCCTGTGAAATCAAGTGCACCTTAAGTAATCCAGAGGAAAAACAAGCTCCTGTTTTGACTCCTGCCTGGTGCAGACTGGATCAAAATTACCTTCAAATACATAGAGGAGAGATTGATTTACATCGTAGGGCACAATGAAACAACAGTGCCACCCCTCTGTAAATCAAACACTCCTTGGGTATTTGTTAAGTGTATGTCTCTGAGGAGCTCTCCATCCCGCAAAGTTGCATCTTTCCTTGTGATACTGGTTGCTCTCCCCTCCACTGATTTGTCTGTAGTCGGAAGGACTTAAGCTACTTTTTATGGGAAAGGCAGTGAACCCATAAAGCCCCGTGATGCACTGCTGCCCACCGCCTTCCATAAGGTTGATTTAAGATTAATCGCATGTTGAAAATGACCATTTAAAGTTTGAGGAAGCCTTACGTAGCACCCGTCACCGACCTGTGAACTCTGCAAGGAGTGTGAAATTTCAACAAGGAGAGAACAACTTTATGGCATGAAAAGCACCTTGTATGTTCCAAATATCCATGCATGTGTGTGTATGTATGCTCTCATGCGCACTTTCAAGCGTGTCTGGGTACATTCACACACGCAGTTTTCAAACACACACACTCAGACATGACGTGTGTGCGTTTCACGTTCTCTATATTGGGTTGTTATTGTTTCGTGGCAGTGTTGGGTGCTGCTGCGCAGACAGTGGAGGCTGAGGAGGAGGAGGAGGGGGAGGTGCTGGATAGACACAGATGTCTGTTGGCCCTGGCAGCGCTGCGACACGCCAAGTGGTTCCAGGTCGGCACCCACTCACTTCCTGTCTTCGTGCCTGATGCTTATTGTAGCCTGACGATGTACCCGGAGAGGGTCCACCTACTGTCCGCTTACTCTGCAGTGTCTGTTATGCTCACTCAATATGACACAGGCGTAAAGTTTCATGCATTTGACAGCAATTTGATTGTGAATCGTAAGCCGGAAGTGCTACAAAAACATCTACACTGCAGTTTTTGCAGGATGTTTCGCAACATCGTGAGCAAAAACGACCACATATTTCACCAGTTAATCGGTCCTCCAAATATTTTCCAGATTCTTCATTCTGTCAAAGTGTATTTTTTTTGCCTATTGAATTGTCCCCTTTATATATCCATACATAATTTAAGAAAAATATAAATATTAGAAATATCGTATGGCTACAAAAGCAATGGTTAAAACTTTTTTTTTCGGCTATTGTGTGAACCTGCCTGCTTTGTAAAGTTTGTCAGTGCTTCTCTTTGATTCTCCTCCCATATCCTTCCCCATCTATCCCCCAACCCGCTTAACCTACTGGCAAAACAAATAAAAGGAAAAAAAACACGTCTTCTGATGGAAGAGATAGTGGTTATAATGAAATAGTCAGTTTGTTTAGTGTGGGGAGCTCATGCAGAGTCACATTATGACAGTGGCGTCGTGTTGGAAAGCAGTTTCTTCTGTATTTGTTTACAAAAGTTACACTCCTGCTTTCCTTAATTTGTCATTTTCCTCCCCCTTTGATTTCGCTTCCCTCCATCCTTCCCTTTCTTTCTCTCAGGCTCGAGTGAACGGACTCAAGTCCTGTGTTATTGTTCTCAGGATATTAAGAGACATGTGCAATAGACACCCCGTCTGGGAACCTCTGAAGGGATGGGTGAGTTTTTCATTGTGGTTAATTTGAATTGCTCATTGAAAGGGATTGGAAAGTGTTTAGCCCCAACGAATATTTTATGTCAAAACGAGGATTATGTATGGCATTATCTGCCCAAACTGACAATAAGACTGAGTATAGTGACACAAAAATAAAGATTAGTATTTGATAATATTGTACGTTTTTTTGTAACTCTTGTAATTGTAATGATGGCAGGAGTTAATCGCCGTCTCTCTCTCTCTCTCTCTCTCTCTCTAGCTCTCTTGTTTTTCCGCTAATCTTATTTTTTCATTTGAGTGAACTTGATTTGAGAGCAAAGGAAGGCAAAACTTTTACACACTGAATGTTTAATTATAATTGAATACTGTGTTGATGTCTTATTATTGTACTAATTGTAATAAAGGTTTCTTTTATTTTTAAACTGCCGTACATGTACTCCCATCCCTCCATAATCTAACAATTTTTATGTTTTAGAAAACATCATGTTGAACTGTAATGAATAATGAGGACTGATCATCTTTGAAGAGTAAATGATTGATGTAGAATGTTTTTTGTCACCATTGTGTCCACACTATTTTCGGTTACTTTTATTTGACAAGTTTTCTATTGAGGATTCACTACATTTTAGCTGTTTCTGCAACTACTTTTGTTCATCGATGCAGACTCAACTGTGTCCCTGTTATTCTCACAGCCCTTAGAGCTCATATGTGAGAAGGCCATCGCCACCTGCAACAGACCTCTCGGGGCTGGAGAAGCCATGCGTCGGGTCATGGAGTGTCTGGCTTCAGGCATATTGCTACCAGGTATGACAGCAAAGTATTACAATCATCTTATCTGCATGTGTACAAAAACTGTTTTCAATTATGTTAAAGAGCGTATGCAGATTAATTGGTTTGTCAGGGCTCCGTTTGACATATTTCTGCAAACAAAAAAAGAAGAACAAAAAATGCAAACCAAATAAAAACTCCTGTCAAATAATCGAGAATATTTGAATCATCGGGACATCCTGCATCACATCTTTCATCGCACCGAATAAATAAAAAAAACAGTAACTAGCTCATCTTTTAATGGTTAGAATAATAACTCTGCGTTTGTTGTGTGTGTGTCTTCTGTGTTTGTGTGTGTCTGTCAATTATCCAGGTGGCCCAGGTTTACACGACCCATGTGAGAAAGAACTCACAGACACTTTATCCCACATGACCGACCAGCAGGCTGAGGCCATCACCTACAGGGCGCAGGTACACACACACACACACACACACGCATGCACAATGCAGTTTAGAGTTGGTGTTATTATCCTCTGGCCCCACTTGCTCTCTCTCACACTATGGGGATGTAAGCAACATGACTATTAGCAGAGAGAATGACGTCCCCACCACTCCTACAGCAGGCTCTGTATGCACACACACACACATTTGTGGGAACGTGGTTGCGCATCTGTAGAAATAGATGTGTGATGCTGCATTTTAAAGATCGGTGTGGGAAACTATTGCCATTGCAAGCCATAAATCCATCTCTGACACCCTGAGAACAGCGCACACACCGCATGCACACATGCGGTGTGTGCGCGCATACTGTCCAGGCCTTCTTCACACACACACACACACTCGACCGATCAGGGCAGCCTCTGAGCTGCTTGGCTTAGTGAATCCCGCCGTCCATTTCCTTTGAAGGCAGCCCGAACGAGGCTGGAATGTCAATGGGGATAATTGTATTGGAGCAGATACAAGAGCAGATAGGAGAGAGGGAGATGTTCTGTCAATGAGCTACAGCAGGTGTCATGAATATGTGACACACTCTACTTCCCTAATGGATTTAATTTAACTGAGCCTGTCTGCTATTTTGTTATCATTTGGCATATCTCTTAATACAAAGATACTCGTCTTTAAAGCACTCATGCATATGTGTGCTGATGCCATTCATCTTAAATTGGAAGAACTGTAAATGCAGGTCGTGTCTGGTAATCTTTGACTACTTTTGTGCGTTGAAAATAACAAGCTTGTTTGTCTTTTTGTGGTTGCATATTTGCATGTGTGCCATTGTGCTTCTGGGTTTTGGGAAGACCTTGTCACATTTTATAAATGTGAATGTCACTGTGATGGTTTATGGCCCTATTTCTCTGCCTGCCATGTCCTGGGTGAACACAACAGATTTCATGAAAACAAAATTTAAGAATGCACCATGTTTTCTGCCTGTTACCTTTCCTTCAGTGTATTACCTTTTCAGTTCCTAACAGCATGAAATACCTAGTTTGTATGTCAGCATTTTCTTTTGTTATAATCCATTTATTTCTTGTCTCTTTGTCCTCCTGTACCATATTTGCATAGTGCTTTAGATGCAAAGGTAGAACACAGCTGTTGCCATTATCTACTTGCAAGATTTACTTTTTCAAAATCTATATTGTCTCAGCCATGAACGCAACATGCAGACAGAAGGTGGCACAGAAATGGAGAAACATTATGTGGTGTTTTATGTAAAGTTCTCCTTGTCTCCAAAGTATCAGAAAGTAGTTCTTTAATTAAATATGATTTTCTGAATCCAAATATGCAAAAGCTTGTCTAGACATCTTTTTGTCAAAGCTTTGACTTAAAAAACTACAATATGAAAACAGTGACATTCTAAAATGAAAAATAGGTCAGTCATTTTTCAGCATGAATTCAGAGGTTTCTTATGGTTCAGTTAATATTTTAATATCTGTCTGCCAAAGTAGATTGAATTTACCTTCTGTTTTGCCTTCCACAGCATGCTCTCAGACTCATGGCATTTGGACAGATCTACAAGGTGTTAGAGATGGAGCCTCTTCCCTCAAATAAACCATCACAGAAATATCCCTGGTCTGACAAAGACGGTGTGTAAGCTTAAAGTCTCCCTGCCCGTCTGCTCTGCTCCCTCCTCTCTTCAGTCTGTGTGGGTGTTCTTGTTGTGTTTTCTAATCCACACATCTTTTATTTCAGTCTGTCTGCATGTGCTTGATTATCTTCTTTACAGGCTTTCAGAGTACAGCACGGGCTTTTTTCCTCTCTTTTGTTAATCTGTCTCTCTGAAGGCATGTTTAATGGTTGGCCTGCCCACTTTCTAACATGCATCAGTTTAGTGACAATATGTGGGTCAGATAAGGGTTATCCTTCTTCTGCCCTTTTTTTGTTTGTTGTTACCAGTGACAAAGCAAGGTCATGGCAGCCTTAGTGAAATCACTTTAAGCTGCACGTGTGCTGTTGTGGAGCGATGCAGGGCTGTTTCTGCTTTTGCTCACATCAGAGGAAGACTCTTCCAAAACTTAGAAGATATTGGTTTGGCACATTTCCAGAATGATTCTAATAGAAAATTGACTCAGGCCTCTTGGTATTTCATGATGCTGACATGGAGAATTGCCAAAGCATTTACAGATTAAGGTGCATGTTAGAAAGGAGCTTATACGTCTTCCTCAGTGTTTGGCTGTTTGCTGCTATGCCTGTCAGTTTTGTTTAGTTTAACTGTTTTATCCGTCTTACTCTGGGTTCGCCGTCATGCGTCGTTTGTTCTTTATCCAAACGTTGCCTCTTTGCATTTCTGTCCAGCATCTGTACCTTTGCCTACTTTCACATAAGCAAGTATTTGTTATAGTTTCTTTTTTGTCCCTCCAACCGGCTTGTCTGCATCTCCTCCTTTTAGGCTTAGGTCTGAAGAGGCCATATGAGGATGGGACAATGGAAGACAAAGACCTCATTAAGAAGATGAAGAGGAATCTTAGAAAAGGTATGAAAGGAAGAGAAGGAAATAAGCAGTGTAGTTTATACTCTTCTGGGCATTTGCTCTAAACATATGGCTTGAAAGAAAGTAGGTGTTTGACAATATCTGAGTCTGTTCATTCTGAATCAAAGCTTTAATTTCCCATCTGTTATTCCAAAGTTATCTAAGACACGGATGGAAGAAACAATTGTCTGCAGCCCACAAACCAGCCTCCCTTCTCTATCCTTTGTCTCTATATATTTCTGTTTTTCTTTGTCTTCCCCTCTCTTTCCAACCCCCCTTTCATCCCCTGGAGGCAAATCAATACCATTGATTGGCAACATTTTTGTGGGCCTCCTAACCATCCCCAGCTCTTTCTTTATAAGAGAAGACTAACCACACCTTTTGAACACTGAAAAGCAATTCTAGATATCGGCAAACAGGAGCGAAAGTGATTTAGGAGAAATAAAATGGAAAAACACATTATTTATGATCAAAACTGACCTTTATGGTTAACTGTTATTCTGCACAGGCCACTTTTATATCTTCTTGTATTTGTTCTACTTTTACTGATTAAACCTCCCACCTCTTTTGCTATAGTTTTGGATAGTAAAGCCATAGACTCCAACCAGCCAATGAACGCCCTGATGCGCCTGAACCAGATCCGGCCGGGGCTGCAGTATCGCCTGCTGTCCCAGTCGGGGCCGGTTCATGCTCCAGTCTTCACCATGTCTGTGGACCTGGACGGAACTGTGTATGAAGCATCCGGATCCTCCAAGAAAACTGCCAAGCTCCATGTTGCCGTCAAGGTAGGATGGCCAACAAAATACAGGGAAGGGCAGCATGCTGTGTGTTGTGTGTCTAACAGGAAAAGGATGGGGAATCACACAGCCTGATAGCTTCTTTTGTTTTAGTCTGATTTATGTTTTTGGTTATTTCTGAAATAATACTATCCTTGATTTGGGTCCAGACTCTGGATTAGGTCGCTCTCAGACTTTTATAACATTTTATAACCTCAGTGGTGTGCAACTACAGCTGGAAATAATGAGGTGTTGCTCAGTGCCTGTTAGGGATTTTGGACAGGTTGTTCAGTTTTGTTCATCCCCTTAAAAAAAATCTTGCTTCACTTGGTCAAAAAAGGATTCAGGTCTTTTCTGGTAAATTCTTTTTGAGCTGTTATTGGTCATCTAGCACGAAAAAGAATACTATGAGGGCCCGATTAATGGGGGCCTGCACTGATGGTTTTCCGACTGTGAGATTTCTCCAGCTTCTGCAAGGCACTCTGGATCTTCCTCGTACTGATTGTGGGCTTTCACTTTCATTTATGATCACTCACTTTGGCATTCAGGTTGAGAGTGTGTGTTTTTCCTTCCAAACTTATGTACTTTAACACCTGTGGCTGCTGTTTATTTGGGCATTCCAGAAGCATTTTACTATCCTTCCTCAGACCTCCTCCCAGAGTTTTTGTCTTGCAGCTTTTACAATCACTTTGTTTGTACTACCAGCTCTACGGCCTAATGCAAACGTGTGCTTACCTTCACAAAAATGTCTCGTGCCCTCAGTTGGACATCGAATGGCACTGATTGGCAGAAAGATCACGCGCTCAATAATGTACCTGAGCTGAGTTGTAAATTCCTATGATGATGCAACGTTTCATCATGGGCGTCTTGTTCCATTTAATTCCGTTGATGTGGAAACTTTTAGGGGGTCTAAAAACTTTCAGGATGTATTATGTTTGTAAAAAAATGTCCCACAAAGAAATTACACTTTTACTGTAGTTTTACATCCAGGCATTTCTCAGCTTAAGATGCTGCCGAATGTTTGTGAATCATCAAATATGTTTTTTGTGTGTGTGTGTTCAGGGGGCCAACAATGAAGGTGGGCAAAATCCATGTAATCCCAAAATGGTTGTAAATAAAGAGGCTCTTCATTTCACAGAGCTGGGATAATCCGTAACCCACTCCATTCCCATGAAAAGCTTTTTCGTCCCCATTCTCACCATTTTCTGTTCTCTGCCTCGGTCACTTTATTTTTCTTTTGAGTTCTCAGTTTTTCATATCTTTTCCCTGTGCCACATTCTATCTGGTTCAGCTGCTGTTAGAGAATCCCCAGGTTGGGTCAGAAACTTGTCATTCTGCCTTTTCTCTTGATATGGATATTTTTCCAAGCTACCTTAAAGCGCTGTGTGGTGTTTCTGTTGTGTAACTCCATAAATGTATGATGAATTCTGGTTTACCATCACCGAGGAAATTATTTTGTATCACTTAAATACCAGCTGCGGTACTTCTGTCGTTCTGTCCCTGCTCGTTTTAATTGACATGCTAGTTGTCCGCTTGGATATCTGCATCAAAATGCATTAAAAAAATCCCCACCAGTCATGAGGAGACTTCAGTGTAACTGGTCCACTGTGCTCGGTTTACATTATCCTGATGACGACCCTAATCCTGTTAGCTGATATCTATCAAAGTGTCTACCCAGGTTTATGTGCTTTGGGTATGTTATGATTCATTGTCTTTTTCCCTCCAAAGGTTCTTCAGGCAATGGGTTACCCAACTGGTTTCGACTCAGATTTGGACCCCATGAGTTCCGATGAGAAGTCGGATGGCGAGGGAAAGAGTGAGACCTCCTCACACTCAAGCAATAACCCAACACACTCCTCAGATGGTTCCAACACACTGGAGGTGAGGACTTGGACTCATTGGCTGTCTGCAAACATCTCTTATCCTATCCAGTGCTTAAAACAAGCTGCTTTTGCTATCCAGGCAGGAAATGTATTTAGCTCAGTAAAATTTCATAATTGCATAATTTTCAACTGCTTTGAGGACTTCTTAGTCATGCTTTGCTCATTCCACCTGGAGCATTTTCAACACGAGTTTTATTGTCACCTGTATGTCCTTTTATGAAGCTATGATTTGCTTTCAAATACAATGACTTCTCCCTGCCAGATGAGAACTCAGGGTCCCATACTGACGGCGAGTGGCAAGAATCCCGTCATGGAGCTGAATGAGAAGAGACGAGGCCTGAAATATGAGCTCATCTCTGAAAGTGGAGGCAGCCACGACAAGCGCTTCGTCATGGAGGTGAGAATGTCACAAAGCCTCTGCAAAAGGGTTCACTTCTCACATGTACAGTCACACTCGAGGGAGAGACACACCGCGGCAGAAACACACAATCGGAAACAAGATGATCGCCCAGCAGAGTCAATCAGTCAACCTGGTTCCTGAGGCAGGCCTGTTCTCTGTGGGGTTTGTTGTTTTCCAACACGCCTAGCTGCTCCATCGCTCTGCTGATTGATTAGCAGGGCTGCTTGACAGCAGGACATCTCTAAACAAGCTGTCCTGCTCACTGAAGCTCATTGGCTGAAGCACTGATGACAGATAAACACACAGGCTCTGCAGCTTTACCGTGAGATTGTTAGACTCTGTGGGATGGTCGCACAAAAGAGTGAGAGCACCAACAGAAGAGGCTAAAACAATACCAATAAGAATCGAATGAGGGATCCTTTTTTAGATTCAGTCTTTTCATCCGTATTCAGCATGTTGCATGTTTGTGTCTCTGTGTGTTAGGTGGAGGTCGATGGACAAAAGTTTCGTGGGGCAGGTCCCAACAAAAAGGTAGCAAAGGCCAGCGCTGCTTTAGCAGCTCTGGAAAAGTTGTTCTCTGGTCCCAACGCAGCGGCTAACAAGAAGAAAAAGATCTTGCCTCAGGTAAGGGAACATGTAGTTTTACAGTGCAAAGCAGACTGTGAAATCCAATAAAACATAAATCTTTTTTCTTTTTTTGCAACCATTCAGACTAATCATTATTAAATGCAAACAAGAATATACAACATTTTTACACAGTTCAGCCAGCAATACCTAATGACATTACTCTTCACAAATTAGCCAGATCAATGCTTTGCTGTTGCCACCACTTTTCCACTTAAATCTCAGTAAGCTTGTAAACTGTTAAAGATGTTTGTTTGAATTCATATTTATTTCCTCATACGACTGATGTCATGTAGATGTAACGGATCTAACTTTCAATACGTGTGTGTGTGTGTGTGTGTGTGTGTCCAGACGAAAGGAGCTCTGGCTGCAGCCGCAGCGGCCTCAGCAGTAGCAGCACAGGTAGCCAGAGGAAGAGGACGAGCAGCCATCGCGAGAGGAGCCTTCGTCAGCGCCGCTGCGCCCGGATACGTCACGCCAGGTTAGCGGGCCGGTGCCGCGTGTTGCTTTTCCACTCAGATCTCATCCTTATCAGCCACGTCAGAAGGCGTTTTGTATTTCTCACGTGACAACGGCGTTTTCTGCAGAGTAGGCGTTTTCTAAACCACCCCTGACATTTTCATCTGCTTTAGGCAGCTGGCTCGTTTCTCTCTGGCAAATAAAAAGCTCACTCTGTCCCTGCAGCTGTGCGGCAAATATCCACAGCCGGCCGCAGCAAGCCGCAGGACAGAGGGACACATGTCCCGCGCTATGTTACTCACATACTTTATCAGTTTCACTCTCAATTTTTCCGTGTTTTCCTTCTTCCTGAGGAGAAAAACATGACCTCAGGTTGCTTATCCTGAAATCACACCTCTTTGATAACTGTCAGGCTCTCGTTCTGAGTATAGTGAAAGTACGTTTGGATAAGAACCAGCACAGCATTGAATTAGAGCCTGTAACTTCTCGCCCAACAGGCTTTGGGACGCCGTATGGCTACAGTCCTGCCGCGGCAGCTGCCCCAGCTTACGGTAGGTGTTTCCTCCTCCATCTTCCCCACATCTGTAACTGTCCTCCTTTTCTAACCTTTCCCTGGGTAGATTAATGAGTCCTCGGTAAGTTTGGACCTTACTTATGAAACCCTCCTTTCTATTGATCATTTTGCATAAATTTCCCTTTTTTTCCCCCTTTTTTCCTCCCCTGAAATTGTGATGTAGCTTTTGGGGTTTGGCATTTCTCTACATAAGCAAAACTTTTGGCTCCTCGTCAGCTTTGCGCTTCAGATCTCTCTTGTTATCTATGTTTACAAAGTCGTCAAATCACTCCTGGTCTCTTAATCTGCTCACTGCTTTCACTCCTACATTTCTTATGTTCGGACCACCGTTCTGTAGGCAAACGGCTGTCATCTGCCTCAAGATGTGACTGAAACCGACTCAGGCGGTCCCTTGCACTCACACCTGTTTTTAATGAAAGTAGAACGGAGCAGAAAGCTGCCTGCGAATTTCATCCTCTTCTCTGTTCTGAGAAGAGGAACACAGCGTCTCTGCCACAGCACCTTTGATATTCCTGTCCTTGTCCATTTCATCCCTTCTGGTGGCTGGACTCCCACAAACACACACACACACACACAGGCACACGCTATATATTGAGACATATATGGCCTTAGATCTTTACGAGTCCTTGACCTTTTCCTAGTATAGGTGTCGGAGCAAAAATCCACTCCATCTGTCTTAGCGTCTCCAACCCACACACACACGCACACACTGTTTTATTTACCTCAACAGACTCTGCCTTGTTTCATGTGTGTACACATGTAGCGTTCGGAGGCCTCTCTGTCCTTCCTGCAGCCTTGGGCGTGAATGGGTCCTATGTGCTTGTAGTGACTGCTCTGAGGCCCCCGGACAGGCATTTAGTGCCCCTCTGAGAGCCCAGCAGCACTGCCTATGAAGCACACCTCAGTTTGGCTGTTTGTGTGTCCGTTTGGCTTTGGGGCGTTGCGCTTACCTGGCATCTGCAAAGTTTTTTCGCAGAATTGTGAAAGTTGAAATAGTCCTTATTCGCTGACATATTATGCAAAAGTCATTCAGTAGCGGGACTCAGAAGTAGAAAGAAAATAAACAGGTGATTAAATGTCCTGTAGCTTCTGCGGGGAGATGCATTAGATTACACCACTCTGCCATATTTCTTGTCAGTTCTTGTCAAGTAGCCCAGCTTGTGTGAATGCGTAATAACCCGAGCTGTAACCCTCCACAGTTATGTAGGAAGGAAGATCCAGTTTGTCTTATTTTGAGAAAGAAAAGAAAGGGAGCTTGAGTCACAGCCAGACTTTAGTTTGGAATTAACACAGAGTGTGTTTCATTCAGAGCTCTGCTTTGCTTTGCTGTTTCCAAGAAAGCGTCAAAGGATTATGAAATATGATCTATTATCTTATAAAATAGAAAGCCTTAGATCATGGGGTATAAGATCAGTTTTGGATAGTTATAACTTGCTCTTCAGTTGTCTAGATGTGGTTTAAGAGTTCCCATATTAATAGGACCAGTACTCAGTCCATCAGATGCTCAAATATACCAAAAATTGTTAACAATTTGACTGATTCTGAGTCCTTGTGGATTTAGTTGGTCCCTTTTCTCCAGATGTTAACAGTCAATTTGGATCAAGAAATGTTCCCTTCTTCCCTTGGCTTTAACTGTCCCTCCCTCTCGGCTGGTCTAACCACTAATAAAGGCTGCCACCTCGTGTGCTCACCTTCTCGCTTGTTCTCACACATGTGCGCTCGCCCCTTCGTGAGCCTTGCTTGTCTGTCACCAGATGTTTGTGGGACGCACCCGTAGCACAGTGTGTGGTATGGTGAGCATGGAGACTTTCTTGTTACCCTGGACTCATGCAGAGCTATGCTCTTCTCGTGTCTCCCCTCTAGGTTTGCCCAAGAGAATGCTTCTGTTGCCTGTCATGAAAGTGCCCGCCTACCCCGTCCCCCACTACCACTTCTTTTAGCACAGGACACACATACCAAATGCAGCCAGCCTTTTCATTTTCTTTATTTTTTTATCAGAAGGGAAACTCAGTTGTTTGTTTGTTTTTTCTTTTTTCTACATTATTAGCGATGGTGGAAGATATTTTAAGGACTTGAGCTAAATATTTGTAAAAGAGCTTTTGGGTTTTTTTTTGTTTGTTTGTTTGTCTGTCTGTTTTCTTACTGTTTAAGGAAACTTTTATGAATATAAAAACTGCGGGTCTAAGTTCTTTAATGTAAAAAAAAAAAAAAAATTGAAAGATTTGTACTGTGAATTGTTACCTGTCTTTGAGTCTAAATTATATATATCGGCATTCTATTTAGCTCAGTCTTTGCTATGAAGATGATGCCCTCTGCAATATAGCACAGAACAGACATATTCTGTGTATCAATAAAGTAAGAATGTGAGCTGCGTGAAGGATGTAAAGGAATGAATCAACAATGCTGAAAAATAAAATTCATCTCCAAAAAAAGCTGAACAGTGCCTGTCGTACATGTGATTTTACGGCTGAAGTGAAACCACCAGCTCTGACTTTGCTCAGAGGAAATCTATCCACACACCTCAGTACAAGCAAATAAATCCAGATTAACAATAAGAAAAATCCAATGAGATCTTATATTTAGGACCCACTTGTACGCTTTTACCATTAAGTGTTCAACTAAGATCGAACCTCCACGTGTTTCCTATTGACAAACTGCTTTAAGGTTAGTCTGCTGTTTAAAGTTAAAAGCTAGCTCACAGACATTCTCAGAGAATCAAAAGCAGGAAAAAGAGTCACAGCCTCTTTGTTTTTACGTCGCTATTATTTCATTATTTCAGTGTCATTGCTGTATTTGTTAAGTTTGCTCATGTTTTACGTTGTGTCGGCACCAACTGAGTCACTGAAACCTGGGCTGAAAACTAGTCCTCTCTTTGTAGAACACGTTTTAAAGATTGCTGTTAAAAAATGAAAAATTACAGTTAAAAGTTGGTAGTAAAGATGAACTCTAAATGGAGAAGTCATCTACACTGAGGGAGACACTCGACAGACCAGTCAAAGGTCAGTGCCAGTCAGGACACACTTTAGTTTAACCCTTCACCACCTCATGGTCATCCAGCAAGCCAGTGGTAACCGTCTGAGGACGTCTCCATGGTTTCGGCTATGAGGCGCAGCCATTGGATGAGAGGACCAATGGTTGGTTGAGCTCCATTACGTTTTATTTATAAGTAAATTTCGTCTCCAGAACTCATGTCTCGCACATTTTTTCCCCACCTGTTATGTATGTTTTCCTCTATTTTAAGTGGGCAAAAAATACTGATATATATATACATATTTATATATATATATCAGTGAACCATTTGTTTACCTGTCTGCCGTCATTTTTAGTTTATTTGTTTATTCACTCATTTATTTTTTACATTTGTGGTCAGTACCAAAAGGCTTCACAAATATTTGACTGAATATTTGTGAGTCGTGCTCCTTTTCAGCTCCTCCTGCGATCTGGACTATAATTAGTTGTAAAGGAATAAAATAAGAGTTTGGGGCATTTGGAGAAAATACATTTATTGACATCATTGCAGTTTGAGCTGACTAGCTCAGCTTTGTACAGCTGTAAGTTTGGGGGAAACAACTAACCTGGGTAAGTCTGACCGTTCTTTAGAATGGTTCGATTCAAACCCACTCTTTGAATTTGAATTGAAATGTTTTGCACCTTCGGGCTCCTGCTCAGATTCATCAAATGAAGTGGTATTTTGCAATATTTTAAGAATCAAATTTAATGAGCCGTTTCTTTGTCCTCTGGATAGAACTATGTGAGCTGTTTCCCCATTACTGCAGTTTTTGTTGTTAAACTAAGAGGGCCGCCTCATTTTCACACGTGTAGCATGAAATTCGTATTTATCCTTTCATCTTTTTTATCTGCTCTTAGCAAACAAACAAAAAATGTAATCACCATCCGATAAAGTTGTAGTATTAGTTTAATCTGTTGCCTTTAGTGGAGTGTCTGATTCATTAGTTGAAGTCATTTTCTAAAAAGGGAAATTGTGGATGACTGAGTGTTTTTCTCTGTTTCCCGCAGGTGGTCTGTTCATTGACAATCCTTTCTACCAGCCGCGTACCATCGCTCCCTTCATCATCCATCTGGGTCCCCAGGATCTCTTCTCTGACTTCTAAAGCCAGCAGCTTGTCTTCAACAAAGCCCGTTTGTGTGCGCGGGACGCCTGGCTGCAAACACGCCCACCTGTTTTTTTCCGTCCGGATGACGGACCCCCCCCTCACATTCAGAGAAGTTTTGGTTTCAGTAGCGCTCCGACCTGCTGACCCAGAGGCTCAGAGCTCCTCTCTCTCTGCGCCCTCGTCTGTCCAGGTTACCCTCGTCACAGCGGAGAAACTTAACTCAAAGCAATACACTGATTTTACGAGAGAAGCTCAGCATTCTGCGGAGAACCCGCTAGACTTTGGTTTTTCTTATAGCAATACACTTGAACTCGTCTCTTGAGCCCAACAGCTTGGGAGGAGGTGAATGTCTGGCAGAGTTTTACTCCACACAGCATTGCAATAGTTGATTTTGATTGTATCTTCATTGTATGTGTGTGTACGTGTGGCTATAACATGACTATATACACATAGGTACGATGTATTTCTATAACGATGTGTTGACAATATTATTAATATTTGACTATGTATTTATGTAAATACTCAAAAATATAATTATTGTTGTTATAAATTATTTTAGAATTATAAAGTGAAATGTAACTGTAATATCACAGTATAGCTTTCTTCCAATTTTATATACACTGAGCAATTTAAGCTAGTTCTAGAGAATGCAATATTATCTTTGGTATTCTTATTAACCCGTGCTAGTAGAATATTAATGCTTCCTACTTTCCTTCCTTCCCCCTTTCCTCTGTCGTTACTGTCTTTCTGAGCCTTTCTGAGCGCACTCTCTGCTGCCTGTGGTTGTTTACATGGCCCGGATCAGAGGCGCTCGCTACCAAACACACTCACAACCTAATCACACACACACTTTTCCTGTCAGAAAGCACATTTTCTATAGTCTCAATGCTGGCAGGGAATACTGTTGTTACAAATACTGTGCATTTCTAGTACGTGGATGCTCCGACTGACGCGCTCCTCCCCTCCACCATTAACAGACACACAACTTCCAACACAGAACAATCATTGACTCTATTCCCCCTGCTCGCCTTATAGGGTCCAAAAGCACACATCCCTGACTCTCCTCCTATCAGAGCACACACACACAGTCCCCTCCTTTCTTCTTTTTTAAAACACTGTTTGGGATTGATGCTAATGCTTCCAGGCTTTTCCGTACACGCAGCACAAACGGGTGTGACAGGATTCCAGGAGTATCCCAGCTCCCTTTCCGGTCCTTATGTTTCCTTACACAAAAAAAGTGGATGCAGTTCTCAAAATGGTTTTTGACTTTTGAAAACAAAACAAAAAATTGGCATGCCTACACTGTAGTCCAAAAGCTAAACTATAACCTCTCTCTTCCTGTTTTCTCTTGACGGCACTCCTGAGGCAGTTAGGCTGATATTGGGACTAATCTGTCAATAACCAGTGAATAATACGGCACCTGTTAACCTCTGCTAAAGCACATATTGAATTTATGTCCCCTGTGGTAAAAGTGGTAGATTACATACGAGACATCAGTGTTTTGTCCTGGTTTGGAAGTGTTGGCATAAGTTGGAGGCCTGCTCTCTGGGAGCTTTTGCAGCATAGACGGTGATGTCGTCCAGTCGCATGTTTACGGCCTCCCCACTGCCCTTCATCTCTGTTTCCTTTTGCTAGGATGAATCCAGAGTCAACAGGGGTGAAGTTGAACAGAATGTGCATCATGGGGCTTTGATTTTCCTCGCCTTCACCTTGATCTGGGAACTAGTTTGATCACTGGAGCTTTGATTCAACGGGGATGACATCTGTGGAAGAGGCGAAAGACATTCGAAGCCTTCAAAGTCAGTTTTTTTCCAGATGATGAGACAAATATGTCAGATTTCTGGCAGCACAGAACTGTTGAAGATTTTTACAACCTTCACTCGCAGATGCTAAATCAGAAAAAGCTGCATTCTTTTAATATGGCAAATTTGTATTGATTAAATCTGATATTACGCAGCTATAACACTTTCAACTCCCATTCAGATCCCTAAACCTAACTTGTACCCGGATCCTGAAGAGACGGCTGGTCTTTGCCTTGCATGACTGTTGCCCGGCTGCTGCATGTGAAGCCGTCCTCTGTAGTTTTCCACCCAGCAGAGTGCTGCTGCTCTTATCTGTAACAGGCCCGGGCCGGAGTGAAGTGCTCCTTTGCTCTGAATCTTTTCAGTCTGGTGTGGAATTCACATGCAGGTGAATAACTTGGCACTCGCTCGTGTCAAAACAGGCAGCGATTTTTCTCCTTCTGCCGTCCTCTCCCTCGCCATCCTCTGCCCAGATGGCCCACATTAATAAGGCAGGGAGAGATTCGTACCTTGGTGAGCAACCTTTTTATCCCCCCCCGCCCCACCACACACCCCCCCCCGGAGTGAGGAGACACGTAGGAGCAGTCGCCCTGGCTGCTGACCCTGTCGTCTTGGTGTGTTGGCCCTACAACAGCTTGCAGGGGAGGATGGGTGGCGGAGGGGGGGTGGGGGGGGGGGGGGGGGGGCAGATCGACGTGCTCGGACTAAAACTGGCACAGGCGTATGGGGGTGTGCAGGTCGGGGCCCGTCCTCTGTCACAGATGGTGTTAATTTACTCCGGATCTGTTGTCTCCGGGTTGGGTCCCCGGAGTGTCCCCTGTTCCCGCTCATGATGAAATGTGAGGAAAACTAAAAGTGGGTCACAAGTAAAAAAAAAAAAAACAATTTTCATTATTAATACGCGAGCGGACGGAGAATCAGCGCCTCGTTTGATCCAGACAATAAGTCATCAAGGCGTTTGGCTCGGGAACTGATTTGGTCGTGTTGTTGTTGTATAGCTTTCATTCACCTGGGAGTCAGAGGAAGCATTGAAAGCCCAGAGGGACAATCACAGAAAGCGTCCTCTACAAAAAGCCCACGTTTTAAAGGCATGATGCTGATGTCTTGTCTAACACCGACAGCAGTAATTGTAGAAGGAAAATCTAAGTAATGCCCGGCGTTTCACACTGCTTTTAAAATCCCATTTCTATTCAGAGCACAGAGAATCTGAAGGCTGGTGTGATGGCTCACCAGCAGGATGGAGGCAATGTTTGGTCTAACGAGGGGAACGCGGAGGCCATGAGTGGTTTCCATGTAAATGCGAGAGAGGTCCACTTCGTTTGAGTGTATTGATGGTTTTGGCTGGACCTGGGCCCCGTTTTTCTTAATGATCCTTCCCAATCGAGTGTCTCACTCTCCTCGTTTCCAGTTTCCCAAAAAAACTGCCTCTTGGATTGCGTTCGACAAAAAAAGACACCCGTGGATCTAAAAAAGCACAAAATGCGCACGAGCAGTACACCCACGCATCGTACTCAGGGCCACCTGACACACACACGCACACACACACACACACACAGAAGCACACTCCCCATCACATGTAAATAGGTCTGCGTTTAACAGCCAAGCACACCGACACGTCTCTTCTCCTCCATTTAGTATCATGGTGCTTTATGAGGGCTGTCCGTAGTTCATAATGGATCTCTGCTTGTGGGGGGGGGTGGCGAAGGGAGGAGTGCTGTCATCACGAGCAGTCTCGGTAAAACGCACAGGCGCTTAAGATGCTGCAATATTTTCAGTAGTTAGAGCTCTGAGTGACTTTATTTGTCATCCAGTAACATCACATTCTGCTCAGCAAAGTTTCCCCCAATCTGTTCATCTGTGTGCCAACTCGAGGGGGACCTCGATGAAACGGCTTCTTCTCTCTGCAGGATGGGACTGGTGCACAGATTTGATTAGGACTGGATTTGGTCTCAGAGCTGGTGAAACATTTGGGATGGAATCTAGAGACCCAGAAAGTATTGAGACATGTTGGAGCCAGATCCACTATCTGAGAGATGGCACTTGCTCGCTTTTTGTATTGCCACATAAAGATTGGAGTTTAAAGCTCTAAAATTATCCGGAGGGATACGGAGAATAGCAGAAGAAACACCCGGAAAGTCCATCTTGGAGTTGGAGCCCTCCGTGCCCTGCGGAGCAGCAGAAATAGATCCTGGCTCACGTTTCCACCGACATAGCAGAGTTAACCAGACTAGCTGCTGAACGCACCCTTTTCTCCGGTGTGTGTGTGTGTGTGTGTGTACACTTGTGGTGGAGGGTGAGGGGTTGAGGGGTGCAGGCATTTCACATCCACATGCAGATACACACACACACAATATTGCGGTCATATTGAGCATGTTGTTGCATCCCGCCTGGTCATGGTCCTCTGACCGTGGAAGCCCTCCTGATGAATGATCAAAGCATTTTGGTTGGGAATGTACACTGTTGCTATAGTGATTGTTGATTAGAATGTATTTACTCATAGAAAGAGTACACTTGCTTTTTTGTAGAGAAGCATATATACAAAATATATATGGCAAAATGCATATATATCTAAATATATCTAATTATATACACCTATATATCTTTTGAGCTGCTTGTGCGTGGGGGTTATTTTAGGCACATCTGCCCAGTTAAAATTCACACTGTATTTGTTTCCCTCTTTTTTATTTTCATTAATGCTCAATTGACAATAGTAGCTTCCTATGGATATTTAGGTTTACCTGTAAATATGATTTTTTCTCTTTTTTTAATTTTCAACAAAAAGGGGGGTTAAAAGAGTGTTTTACGATGTTGCCTACAAATCTACGATGTGATGTCTGCTCACATTCAGTTATCAAAGATGGCGGAAGGTTTCTAGGTTGTGTCTAACGGAGAAGACTGGAAACGAATGATGAAGGTTGTTTAAAACTTGCTGTGATTGTTTTGTGTTGGGTCGCAGCATTCGCTGCAGGGATGATCTGATCTGTGCTCGCCACAGTTCCTGACATAACCTATGCTTGATGAACTGAAAATAAAACTAAGAGAGTGCTGTATTTCCCTCGTTTTTCATGACTTCTGTAAGAAAAGGGAAAAAGTATACCGGAAAAAAAAAAGAAGTAATGTTGGAAACAAACCGGTTGTTGTCTCGTCAACTAACTAACTAAAATGTGTGTGCTATAGCTTCTCAACAGTATGTTTACACACATCACAACTTTACAACCAAGTCATTTTGGTACCTAAAAGTAACCAGGAAGCTGTGTGGACTCAACTGTGTAATCATGATCTGTAAAGACCAGGTGGAAGGGAAGGAAGGGAGGAATGAAAACATGGTGCTGAACAAACATGAGTAGGTTACCCTACCTTTCCCTTTCCTCTTCCACAAAGGAGACTTTTACTGACATTCTCCATGTAAATAGAGAAACAAATGGAAAAACTTAAATTAAACTCAACAGTGAAAGAAAAAAACATCTTCACATCTGAGGCCTCTGTAGCTCAAACTGGAAATATTTCATATGGAAGAGATGATCAAATAATTCAGACCTTGGGGGACATGCAACCAGTCTACTGTGTACAGCAATACGCACTTATTTGGATAAGTTTTATGAAATTGTGAAAAATAGAAAATCCCAACAGAAATGTTGGTTCCACAATGTAGATATCTGAACTCCAGTCTAAAGCCAAACCCTTATCTAAACTCAAAGTGGACATTTATATTGGACAAATTTACATTTTGATCTCATCCTCATAAATATGCTTCTAATTCAGAATTGGAATCAACATCTTTTTTTAGACTCCAAGCAAATCATACTGCGCAGTATGAACTATTTGGGGCGTGAGGTATAAATACATTTTTATAAAATGTAGAAATTGAAAACTTGTTGAAAGTGAGAGGCAGTGAAAAGAGGAAAACGTGTTAAATCTGCAGAGATTGCCACGCATCCATGGGAGGGTTGCGCAGTAACAGCAGACGGCAGGCAGTGACAGGGGAGTCTCTATTTTAACAACATGAGCCAAACTCGATAGCAGGGCTCCATCACTCATCTGTTGTCAGCGAGCGCTCTAATCCTGCACAACCAATTAGGCCTTCGTTCAAATTCACACTCATTAGAACTATTAGATGCTATTAATGAGCAGATCTGCTGTCTAAAACACTCTCTGTAGTCATCGTGACATAACACCCAAAGTTATCTTTTATTTTGTGTCCATCTATTAACAAATCATTTGTTAATGAGCCGCTCACGTCTCTACAGCCTGTTTTGCAAATGTACATTTTGAGCCCATTTTCTCA